CCCCAAAACCCCAAAACCCCAAAACCCCAAAACCCCAATTTGTAAATAATTATGGAATAAGTCTTATTACTGGAACCGTAACTTTTTCGCAAACCTTGTTTTCTTAAGCACGATGATACGCTTGGGAGTCTGGATCTTCTTCACTCCATTAGGATCAGTGGCTAGCACATCAGATGTGGTGATAAAGTTCCTATGAAAGAGTTAAATTATTCAGAGAGTAGGATATTATTTGGGAACTTACAAATTTTCACCCGTTGTGAATTCCTCACTTTCTTTACAACTAGAAGAGAGTTTAAACGACATAGGAATATTCTGAAGATACCTATAATTTGAGTTCAGGATTGCTGGCATTTCTGGGTAGCTAGGCTTGGCAAATTTGGAGTTCTGCTTATTTGGACTTCTCAAGATATGCTCTCTACATATGGATTATCACATATATTCAGACATGAAAAATACCTGTGAAGGTAATCCAATGCTATTATTCTATAATTCTGTTAGACTTATTTCTAGAAGTTTGGATTACCTGCCTATTTTGCTCCTTTTTGAATTGTCGCTCACAAACTTTGTTGACTCTGTTATCGCTATTTTGTAAGGCATTGCCTATCAGAGTTCCAAGCTTGAATTGACTAGCACTAAGTCTCCTCCTCAGACTTCTTTTCCAGCTCGCTGCAGGACTTGATTTATTTAGAATCAGAGCTAGGATGAGAGTTATTACTTACTCCTCAACAGTTGGTAGCAAGGCTTTTTCCTTGTTGTAATTATGTAGGGTCTGACAACTCTTTCTCCGCTCTAAGTTTTGGTAAAGACAGTTACCTTTTAAGACCTTGGATCGCTCTACCAGAAGGTCTTGAATTTTTGTATTCATTAATATGCTTATCTTCTCGTCTATGCATGAAACAGATAGGGTACCTCCTTGACCTCTTGAAGTCATTGGCTTCACAGTTTCATCAAACTCAAAGCTGAACCTATAGATTCTCCCCAGTGAAATACTTGTGGTTATGGTTTCCTTGAGCAATTCTGCAGTTGAATTCTTTTTCAATATTCCTATCTTTCTTGGTAAAATGATCCACTGGGATTGTATCTTTTGGAGTTTGTATTTCATTCACGTTTTCAGCGAGGATATCATACCTGCCAAGCTTGTACTTCATACTCCCTCTCATGGTTAGATATCCAGGCCCAGAGACTGGCTTGTAGGGAGAATTTACAGAGTTGTAGTCTATGTTGATCATTTTAGTGTAGTTAAGTTTCGATTTATTTCCTATTTTGAGCAATAGCATCCCCGAATGCATCAAACTCTTTCTTAGAGATATCAAAAGCTTGGAGAGGTGACCCCTTCTCTGAATTGTCAAAGTCCATGATCTTGGCTAATTCTTTGCCATTTTTCATATTAGTCTCAATGGACTGTTTCAACTTTGTCTTGGTAATGTTGTCAACTACTGAATCAATATCCTGATCTTTAGAGTAAATTAGATTCTTGAGGAGGAGTCCTCTATCATCGGAAATTTTGTTATAGGTATTTCTAAAACAAGTTATTCCAGCTCGTACAGCCAATACTGTACTAAATTAACTAAGTAGCTTACTTTAGGTCAACTTCCACTCTAGCCTTGCCTCTTATGGATCTGACCTTCTCAACATTAGTAGGGTCTTCTTGAAGCTTGATCTTCTTGAACCGTTTAACCAGCTCTTTTTGCTGCTTCTCCAGAGGGAGATTTTTAAGAGACCTATTTTCTTTTTGGTTCTGATTGTACAGCCATAATATTCAGCATCATTTGGTCAATCTTGTTCTGGCCTTCCTTCAACTTGTAGATACCTCTGTAGTAAGAAATGTATGGAGACTCAAGCTTGTTCTTCTTCCATTGCTCGAATTGGGACTTGCTTGAGACGATTGATTTAGACTTCGTTTTGAGATTTCTTTTAGAAACTGTGCTCATGTTGTCAAGTAAATTAGAATTTATTCAATAATTACATATCTAGAAGGGGTTTTGGGGTTTTGGGGTTTTGGGG